TTAAAAACTACAACACCAAAAAAGGCAATACAATATCATTTTTAAATGTTGTTGGGATGAACATGACTTTACATAAAATTTTTGTTGTGCTGTGGATACTGCTTAATGGTATACTTTTTGTCTAACAGGCATGAGGCCCTAGGTTAAGTCTCCACTAAGCAGAAAAAAAAAAGGCACAAAGGAGAAGAAGGAAGAGAAATAGAAAAGGAAGGGAGGAAAAGGAAAATAAATATCTTTACATTATTTAAAAGTAATTGTCTGATTTTAAAAGTGCAATAAGAAAATTCAATTAGAAATACATAAAATTCCAATTTCCCTGCTCCATTTTTCTCCTGCTCAATTGATGCAGTTATTTTGTGCTTGTATAAGATTTGGTTGGCTCCATCTCTGAAAGTAGCAACATTGCTGGAAGGCTCACAGGAAGCTGCTTATTCTCCTCATTTTTGCCAAGGTTCTTTTTATCTCAAAGCTATCAAATCTCTTGGAGACAAAAATCAGGCAGGATGGGGCCAGTGAGTGCTATAAAGTGTGTACTCTCAATGTTTTGTTGTTGTTCATGGGAGATGCTTTTGACTAAAGGAAAGAAAATTGGCAATATTGGATAAATAAATCCTAGAGGTCACTGGTGTCATATTTTTTGATGTAGAATTATAAATGATCTGAAAATAAAAGGTCATTCTCATCTAATTCATGGATTTTGAGTAGCACAAATGTCTATGGTCTAGGACAATTCACCTTGGCCCAATAAGTAAATTAGTATTTATACAATAATCTACTCGTCTTTAGAGAACCAGTAGCTTAGATCCATCCTATTGCAACAAGTTAAAATACTAATTTTCTTATATAATTTTATATTTAAAAGAGATATCTTGATCAAGGGAACCATTATGGGGTTAGAGAGAAACCTGGTGTTAGGGACATTACCAGGAATCCACATGAATGACCTCAGCTAAGACTCCTAGCAATAGTGGAGAGGGTGCCAGAACTGGCCTTCCCCTATAATCAGAAAATGACTACCCTAATTGTCATCATAGAACCTACATCCAGTAATTGATTCAAACAGATTCAGTGACCCACAACCAAGCACTGAGCTGAGCTCATGGAGTTCAGTTGAAGACAGGGAGGAGGGATCATATGAGCAAGGGAGATCAAGATTATGATTGGGAAATCCACAGAGACAGATGACTGGAGCAAGTGGGAGCTCATGGACTCTGGATTGACAGCTGTGGAAATGGCATGGGACCAAACTAAGCCCTCTAAATATCGGTGACAGTTATGTGTCTTGATCTGTTGGCGGGATGGTCCCTGTCAGTGGGACCAGAACTTATCCCAGGTCCATGAACTAGCTTCTTGGAGCTCATTTCCTATGGCAGGATGCCTTGCTCAGCCTTGATACAAAGGGGAGAAGCTTTGTCCTGCCTCAACTTGATATGTCAAATTTTTTTAACTGCCCAAGGGATGCCTTACCCCCTCTGAGAAGTGTATGGAGGTGGCATGGAAGGGAGGTAGGGGGAAGTAGGGGTGCAGGAGAAGGGGAAGGGATGTATAAAATGAAAATTTTTAAATAAATATCTTTTCAACAAATAAATAAATAAAAACACAAGAGATGTCTCATATGAACTGCACAGATTGCATCAATATTCCCACACACCTTCATGAAATAGGTTTGTGATTAAAAACTAGAAGTTAAACTAATGAGGTTTCATCTTTAATGCGCAACAGATTATAACCTCTATGAATCAGATCATTAAAAGGAAAGAAACCTAGAAATACAGAGGTTCTAAAAGAAACATGACTTGGAGTCACATCTCATAGAGTTCCAGGAAGTATTAACTATTAGTTTTCTACATAGAAAGTTAACATAGTAACATACAACCCCTCCCTCTCCAGGTAAGTATGTCTCAGAGGAGAAAGCATGCTACATGTCCTCTTTGCCTAGATGCCAGGGAGAATATCTCCCATACCTCTGAAGGCAGGTGCTTGTGATCATATTTCAGAGATGGCCATATGAAGCTAGCAGAGGCCCAATGTCCCTAAACACTGCACCCTAAATGGTGCACCATGATGGCTCCAGGGGCAACTGAGGAAAAGTTGCTTCCCATGAACTTACAATGCTCTAATCTTATTTTAACTTTGGTTAAGCTATAAACAGTAGAAAATTGGGGATCTAGAGACCAAGACTCAGATGTATCTACAGTAGATGATCATGCGGATCAATAAATTTGTACACACAGAACACAAACTTTAGATCACATGTGGATAGTTTGAGTTATTAACAAAGACACAAGCTGAAAGACCCACTTAATGGTGACCTTAAGCTGCTAAATGTTTACCACAGAGTTTCTACTTTTTAGACATCATACAAAGGCTTCATTTTCTGGGCCGTGCTAAGAGAATAAGAATGCAGATTCATAAACATGCATATCAAAATACCACCTGGCTGACAAACAATTTAAGCTTGACAAATAATAGCAACATTACTTGAAACACTATCATTAGCCATGGTTTTAAAAATGGGTTTAATGTAAAAACTACTAAATATCCTAAATAAAATCACCATAAAATAATACATGACATCTAAAATTTCCCACACTTGGTAAACAATTTCATTTTGATTCTGATGTGACTCCCTCATGTGATGGGAGATGTCATTCTGTATATGTTTCTCGTGCTGGTTAATGAATAAAGCACTGCTGGCCAATAGGAAAGTAAGATAGGCGGGACTAGGAGACAAGGAGGAAAAAGGAAGTAGTAAGGAAGGAGGAGCCAAGATGGAGAGTCCTGAGAAAGCAGAATGCTGGCTGGCTCCCCAGTAAGAGAAATACACACATCAGCAGAAATGGGTGGTTTAGATGGGATATAGGTAGATTAGCCTATTTTCTTGTGAGTAAGAATGAGATAGTATTTTACAGCTTACATTGTTATTTATTCTTACATGTGGTAAGCTATGTAAAAATAAGTTTATATTTTGTTATATTGTGTGAAATCTTTCCACTTACGATGTTTTATGCACATTATTTTTACCATATTCTATGTATGTATACTTTTCTTGTATTCAAGACATTTGTATATTGATACAATTTGGGATATTTATCATGCTGCCCTTAATAGTTCTACCTCTTGTCTTGACATTTCTACTCTACCTCTATTTTAGGGATTTATATGTATGTATATGTATATAGTTATATTGTTTAAGTATTTGTTCCTGCTTTACTCAGGGAAGTTTTAATCAGTTTTTTAACTAAGTTCCTGAGTATTACAGATTATCTTCACTCATGTTTCCTGTACCTATGAGATTAGTCAGATATAGATGCTTATTCTTCAATCACTTCATAGACATGCAGAACATGGCATTTAAATGTTTTAATATTACATGAGACACTGTTGCTCCTGACAGCACCGTGTACTTTCCCGAAAATATGTTGGACACTGTTGTTGCTCCTGCTGAAGTTCATTCTCGCCTCAGCTAATGGCCTGTTGGGCAAAGAATTGCCCCCACCTTGACCACTGATTTGGACATGCAGTCCTATGTGTTTGCAGGAGACAAATATAGAAGACTGCTTGACCTTGCCAAGTCAGGGTAAGACAGCCATTCTACCTCCCTGCTGTTGTTGTGGTCTGTCAAGTTCTCTTGGCCTTAGCCAAAACTGGGTGTACCAACGTTGCTGTGAGACCTAGGGTGACTGTCCAGGTGGCTTGCTGTTTCTGTCCTTGCTGCACCTTTTGGAAGTTGTCCTTCCGCACTTCCTGTCTACTCTAGTATTGTTATTTTCCTTCTCAGGTCTTGATGAGGTTGAAGATTAAACTATCACAACTATTATTCTCTCTTCCTAGTTAGATATATTAGGTACTAGACTTACGTTTTCCAACTTGGGACAACTCTATTGTAAACTCCATTATGCCTTCACCCTAGGACTAGATATGTAGGTCATTTTGTTCTCGATTTTCCTTTTCTTAGAGCACACTTGTTATTCACTGTTTTGTATATAGTTTTGTATTAAGCCTAAATCTTTTCTTTAGACTAAAAGGGGAATTGTAGTGAGATAGTCCTTCTGTGGCACTGACCACGCCCATTGGGGGTGGAGCCATGGGCGGAAGTGACCTGTGGAAGGAGGTCGGAGAGAGAGCAGGGAAAAGCTCTCTTGCTGGCGTGACTCGGACAGGAGAGCATCGGATGGAATTTCCTGGTGTTTATCTGTCTAGGTTGTAAGTTATTTCTCCCTGAATAAACATCTATTCGGCCTATTTGTTTATCCTGATCCTTATTTAACCGCGATATCCATGTGATTTCACTTGCACATATGTGATTAACTTATTAAAATATATATTATCCTATCATTTTATAATTGGTGATGTTTAAAAGCAAAGCAAAACTACCCAGATCGATATGAAAGCTGTTCATTTAGTCATTAGGAGTGGTCTCCAATCTCCCTGCTCCTCTGAAGGGGATCCGGAATACAACCAGTAGTTAATTGACAGTAATGGGTGAAGAGTTTTAGCTGGTGGAGAGTCTGCATTATTACAGCAAACACTCAGTATTATATTTGAGTATGCATATAAATGGTAATGGAGGCTGATATTAATCAAATCTTGACCAGTCAGTGACTAAGGTAGCCAGTTGGCACATAACATCATGGCACCTTAACTTTGATTCATGCAAACAGAAAAAGAAATGCTTAACACAACAGATTTTAAATTTCCAAAGAAGGTGAATCTAGTGAAACCTGACCCAAACCTCTAAGTCTTCTTGAAAGTAGAAAAGACACCTCTGAGATCATATTCAAATCCTAGTGATGAAAAGAGTGTCTGCCATTATACTAACCAAGACACTTTTGTCACAGTATCCTAAACTAGGAGACGTTTTCGGTTTTAGGGGAAAAAAAACAAAAACTAAAAAACAAAAAACCTGGAAAACACATTTTTCCATTAGAAATTTTATGCACATAACAAAATTGATACTAGAAACATGAAAACCACTCTGTTTAAATGCCAACACTGACCTTCTGTTCCAAGAGCAATGTGTTTGTAGGGATTGCTGCAAAAGCCTTGTAGCTTGACTTGGTCTTGTATTGCTAGAATGGGTAACCAGAAAGCAAGAGGAGATGAAAAGGGAAAAGAATATGACATAACTGTAGGCAGTCTATCAAGTTAGTGACACATTATCAGGTGAAGAAAGGGGTTATTCTCCACAACTTGTTTTTGAAAAGAAATTAGTCCATCACATTGATATTTTGTTATATTGTTAAGAAACATGCAATAATAGGTTAGCCTACAGATCTGAAACATATTACTTAGCTTTATAACTTAAACTATCCATTTCTACAAATTTATATATAAATTTCTCAGTAACTGTATAAGAGAAGTACAATTCTTTAAGTGACTTTGGTGTTCTGTTGAATTCTCAGATAAATATTACTATTTTTATGTAGCCATATATGTCAACAAATTTAACTGATCTCTTGATACATATTCGCATCAACATTCATACAAACAAAGATTATACTACACAAAATTTTGCATCAGTTTCAGGTTGGCTTAATTTGAAATGTTTTAGGCAAGGTCTCTCTACATGGCTTAAAGTAGGTTTGACCTCCACATGTAGTCCAAGCTGGCCTGAAATTCATGATCTTCCTGCTTCCCCATCCCAAGAGGTGAAAATGTTGGATAGATCTCCACACCTGGCTAACAGCAGTTTTTAACACAGTAACTTATCCAATGACTAAATAATACCAGAAATTTAACACCATAGTTGAAATGAGGCCCAATCTCCTGGTCCTAATCTCATTTTTCACTCTATCAATACTTCTGCTTTCTATTGCAGCAACATTAGCAAAAGATATTAAAAACATCCTGAGTTTTAAGACAAACAGAGCTATGTGAATTGTTTGAAAGAGTTGAAAGTTAATGAAGCTGTAGAAATTGGGATAAGATAAAAATCTATTATTAAAAGCCTCGGTTTAGTGTTATTCTAGTTCTTGAGTTGAGTAGCTAAATTCAAGACACCTATTATATAGCCAATTCCCTTCCTGAGGCAACCTCCCCAGTGGCTCACAACCATGAGGGAGATGACATAGCACTCCAAGCTGCCTTAGTTCCTTGAAAACCAAATGAAAATGTTAACCAATGAAAATTGGGGTTGTCAAAAATAAAATCTAAGGGTAAACAGAATATATAACTACAGAGAGGTGAAAGACTGGAGTGAAGGAATTAAATGGAAAGGGGGTGGAAGAAACAGTAAATGAGGGACTATTGGAGGGGCAATTAGCACTAGGGGCCATTTGAGGGGCCATATGTCAACCTCCTATTGGAGAAGCTTCCTAATAAGTCTATATGAGAAAGAAATCTAAGTGGATTAAGAAAATAATGAGACACTGCCCCAACTAGACATCTTTACCATAAAGTTAAACCTCCAGTGCCAGAAAAGAGTTACATCTAGTTGAGTCATTGGCCAAAGGGACACCATAGGAAGCCCCAAACATCAGGCTAATGCCACAGCTATTGGTTGCTCCCCTCAGACTGATAGTTCACAACATCCTATTGCTGATGACAACACTTACATATTTCATTGAATACAAAATATTTGATCTGTTGCCTACCTAGAAACTTCACACCTACTGACTACCATACATGGTACTGTAAAGTATTCTGCATACTACCAATGGAGAAAGGTAGCTACAAACTCTGTGAGCTACAAAGGTGACCTGCCTGCAAGATATACTGATGCAATAGTGGCAAAACATTGTGGGAGTAACCAAACATTGTTTGATTGGGTTGAAGTTCATTTCTAAGAAAAGGAGCCCATGCCTGACACTTCTCAGTGTTGACCATGATCCTAGAAAGAAAACAAATACTACTATTCTGCAAGAGACCTAGCAATAAAATGACTCCTAGTGACATTCTGCTTAATGGTTCACTCAGCCATCATCAGAGATGCTGCCTCTTGCAATAGATGGGAACCAATACAGAGGCCTACAACTAGACAACAGGCAGAGAATGAGATATTTTAGAATACTCAGTCCTGAGTGGTATGTTTTCATCAAACCCCTCCCCTCAAGGCTCAGGAAACTTCATGGAAGAGAAAGTGGAAAGATTCTAAAAGCTAGATGGGAAGGATGACTTTCAGGAAACAGCATAATCCTGACACAACAGAACTGTTTCAAAGAACCTGTGGAAGATGTACAGGGCCTTCACAAGTTCAAGCTAGACAGGATTAAAGGACTGAGAGGTAAGTCAACATAGGTTTCAAACCCTAACCAAGAAGCTATCTGCAATTGAGACCTTCTTACAAAGAGTGTTTTCTCCAATGGAAAACCACTGGATATATTAAACAAAAGTTAGAGTAGAACCCATGCCCATCAGTAGATGACTAACACAAAACAAACTCTGATGTTTTGTGAACATTTTGTCTCAAATTTCTTTGTTTAGTCATTTTTTTTTGTCTTATCTGTCATTTGCTTGTATATTGTAGTATCCAATTTTGTGGGGGGTGATAATATTTTTAATTTAAATTTGAAACAAGCTTGTTTTACATGTCAATCAAATTCCCTCACCCTCCCCTCCTCCCCTGTCCTTCTTCCATCCCCCATCCCATCCCCTATCTGCTCCTCAGGGAGGATGAAGCCTTCCATGGGGGAATCTTCAAAGTCTGTCATATCATTTGGAGCAGGGCCTAGGCCCTCCCCCATGTGTCTAGGCTGAGAGAGTATCCCTCCATGTGGAATGGGCTCCCAAAGTCCATTCATATACTGAGGATAAATATTGATTCGTTACCAGAGACCCCATACACTTCCCAGTCCTCCTAACTAATACCCACATTTGAGGGGGAGGGATGGTTCTGGGTCAGTCCTATGCTGGTTTCCCAGCTATCAGATTGGGGTCCTTGAGTTTCCCTTTGTTCAGATCAGATGTTTCTGTGGGTTTCTCCAGCCTAGTCTTGACCCCTTTGCTCATCACTCTTCCCTCTCTGTAACTGGATTCCAGGAGATTGGCTCAGTGTTTAGCTGTGGGTGTCTGCTTCTGCTTCCATCAGCTACTAGATAAAGGCTCTAGGATGGCATATAAGCTAGTCATCAATCTCATTATCGGGGAAGGGCATTTAAGGTAGCCTCTCCACTATTGCTCAGATTGTTAGTTGGGGTCATCCTTTTGTGGGTTTTGTTTCTAGTGGAGTTTTTCGTTTGGTTGGTTTATTGGTTAGCTAGGTTCTTTGTTTGTTTGTTTGTTTTTTGTTTGTTTGTTTGTTTGCTTATTTATTTTTTAAAGAAAGAAAGGGTGTAGAGTTGAGTGGGTAGGGAGGTAGAGAGGATCTAAGAGAAGCAACAGAAGGGGGAAAGTGATCAGAACATACTGTAATAAAATTTTTTTCAATTAAAAACAAAACAAAATTTGAGTTTTATGGCTATAATTAAAAGAAATTTGGTTAAACTTATATGGTGAGGCTGAATCTAGCACATCTATTTTCCTTAGAAGGGGCAGGAGGTGGGTAATGAATGTTTTAGCAGCATAGGGGAAAGTATGACAGTACATAGCTGAAAGCCAAAAGCGCTCTCTCTCTCTCTCTCTCTCTCTCTCTCTCTCTCTCTCTCTCTCTCTCTCTCAATGTTGTTCTATTGTTTTCTTCCTTTTTTGTTTACTATATTAGATATAGTAAAATTAGCAACCCAAGGCAAGGGTGTCAGGAAGCCACTGTAGCCTGTCTATTACAACTCTCACTTACACATAATCGCATGCAAATAAATGGACACACAAACTCATTCAATTCATGCATATATCCATCATCTCCTACAAACAAAAACAAACTCAACACAGGAAGAGACCTCTGACTCTGAATACTTCTCCCATTAGGGAATAGACTCTGCTTATTTACCTGCTATTTTCTCTTCTCCAAATGCCTCTTTGCTATAAGAAGCAGCAGCTTTTCAATCTTCTGTAAGCCTCCCAGCTCTCCCGCATCCTGTACTTTCATCTACTCCATGCATGAGAAACAATTCCTGGAGGATACTTGAGGTCATTACAGTCCTAGAATCTACATTGATCCTGAAATACTGTCACATCTAGACAATAATGTGTCTGGGTAAAGATTTAGAAGGAAATGTAATTTCTTTATGAATATTTACATAAATTTACAGAACCCTGCAGCTGAAGATTCATCAGGAAAATCTGCAGTCAAATGATATATCCTGGACTTCAGTATCATTTCTATCTAATTTCATCTTAAAGAATTATGTTCTAATTTTAAACATGAAGATAAAAAGTTTATAATATTTCATGAACCATTTTGTTAGATATGTTATTTTATCATTATCCAAAACAAATATCAAAGATGGAAAGCTCTTACTACTAGGTTCTCTCAATATGGTAGATGTCCTGTCAATATTACTAAATATAGAATTCAACTAATGAATTGATTCAACAATTACATATTGAGTAATTGTTGACTTCTTCTATGTGGTGACATCAGTGCTCCTCTAAGGCATGTGGCTTTCCAAGATTTTCAGCCTCAAAAATAATGCTTGTTGTGGTTTGAAAGAAAATGGCTGCCAAAGAGAGTGCCATTTTTAGGAGGTATGGCCTTGCTGGAGTAGATATGGTCTTGTTGGAGGAAGTGTGTCACTTTGAGGTCCCATATATGCTCCAGTCATACCCAGTGAGACATACCATTTCCTTTGAATCAAGATGTAAGAAGTCTCAGCTCCTCCTCCAGCACCATGTTTACCTGCATACTGCCTTGCTTCCCACCATGATGAGAATGGACTAAACTTCTAAACTATAAGCAAGACACCCCAATTAAATTTTTCTTTATAAGAGTTGCCATGGTCATGATGTTACTTCATAACAATACAAACCCTACCTAAAACAATACTTATTGCCATAAAAGATGCTTTTTTAATTAAACATCTTTCCTCTGAGTTTCTGACATTGATAGGTTTGAACATGTAGCTCTTTGTTCTAATATGTCTTCCCAGCATTCCAAGGCTTCCAGGTACTATGTAAAACTCACTTGTTTCCTTCTTTCATGTAAATCTGAACTGTTCTAGAGAAGATCATTTGGGATAACTTAAAATGTATTATA